GTGGTGACAGAATAATAACAATCCAGTATGTGTGAACTAGAGACTGATGGTGAAACTTGGGACCTGCAGAGAGCAACCAGGTGGCTTTGCAAAGTGAGAATCCAGTGCACTGCTCAGCAGTGTTGCTCTTAGGATAGCAGTAATAGGAGTGAAACAAGGATGTAATAATCTCTGTGAGAACTAGACTGATCTTTTGAAGATTCCGAAGAAGTACAAGATCATTCTTAAGGCAACCTCAGATCTTCATATTTTTATTATGCACCATTTATTTATTCACTACCATTGCAGTGAATAAAAACATTTAAAAAGGGATATTTAAATTAGAAAGAATAATAACCAAAATAAAGAAGAGAATTTTGAGTAGGTGGACAGACTGCTTTTGCCATGATCATTTTGGCTTTGTTGTGAAGTACCATTATGATCAGGTCACTTTATGCCTTCTGTCATTGCAGAATCTTCTACCACTCCAATTAAGAGACTGACATCTGCTGTGAGGTCTTTTTCTTCTTTCTGCATTTTGCCCATGACTTAATCAATTTTAGACTATGACAAACACAACACTGTGCAGAATAATTCAGAACATTGGCCACATTTGACAGCTATAATGTTTACATTTTTGTTTTGTAATTTATTTATGCATCTCACCTAGCTAATAGCAAGATTGGACTATAAAAACGTTTACTAATGCCTCCTTCAGCTTACTTCTTTACAATTATGATTCTAACACAATTACTATAAGTAAATATGTCTTTAAACCAAAAAAGTAATGATCATTACCCTATTAATTTTCCAGTTGAACCTGGAATTAAAAATTAATTGAACACATAGTACTCATATTTTCTGTCTCAGCTCAGTATGAATTCATAAACAATGAGCAGCTGAATTTACTTATATTGCTCAGCAATCCTTATGCAAAATTACTGGCATTAAAGCCAATAATTACAGAAATTGAGGCCCCCGCCAGGACAAAGATTTGATTGCCTAGTAAAACTATTTCAGAAGTTTGAATGATTTGTTGAAGAATACTTACTTTCAGTTATGAAACCAAAATGTCATTGTGCTTGATGAACTTTTGCATATAGAAATAATTTTGAACAGTCACAGTAGAATGCATGTCTCAGTAGCATAAGGAATGATGTAATTAACTTCAGAATTTCACTGGTACTGTGCCCACAATATCTTATGTTCTATAAAAGAGATTTAAAAAAAAAAAAGAGAAAGAATGATTTCTTCTTCATTTCTGCTTGCCTGTATTAGGTGTATGAAAGATATTAATCTGCTAGTAGGAAAATAAGTGAAGTGTTATGAAATGTGCCTGAACTATAAATAAAACCTGTGACTTTATTCATAGAATATGGTTGTTGACATTTTGTATGGTAAAGTTTGATTTATAACCATCTGTATTTATGACAATTCATATATAGGAGAAACTTCCTGAAATTGGGAACAGCTTTTGCTCACAGAGCATAATGCAGTGCAAGGTGAATATTTAAGGATATGTGAGTCTGATCTCAGGTTCTGACTAGGAAATACCTCATTGCCTTCAGTGTCAAATACATACAAGACAATCCACTGGTGTCAGGAGAGAATGTGGGTTCACTTCCCTCTTTCCTGACTGTTGTGGTTTGAGCTCAGAGGCAGGCACTTGCTCCCCCCTTTACCCCAGTGCTGAGAAGGAAAAAATAAGCAAAGATACTGCTCACTCCTCTCTTGTCCCCCAGCACTGAGAAGGAGGGAAGCAAAACTCAGAAACTTGAGATGAGGACAAGGAGGGATGATCTCATCCTGTAAGACACAGGCAAAAGACAGCCTCGTTAGGGGAATTAAAAAAGAACATAAATTTAATACAGACATTAACAACAGCAGCACTTAACAGACAGAGTAGGACCATGAGAAGCATTACCATGTCTTGAAAACACCTTCTCCCATCCCTCCCTTCTTCCCCGGCTTCGTTTTGCTCCCAGTATCTCTACCTCCTTTCCCCCAGCAGCACAGGGGGCAGTAAACGGGAGGTGCAGTCAGTCTTGCCGTTTCTTCCCCTATGCACATGCTCAGCTTTTCTAACTCCGTGTAGATTTTGTCCTTCTGGCCCAGCCTATGAAATGGCATGGTGCTATCTTACACCACTTGGGGGTGGGTAATGGCGTAACAGCAATGTAAAGGCAAAATAGCTGACACAGTCCCTTACAAGTGGGTCACCCTCATGTGTTGCAGTGCTCCCAGTGCCAAACTACAACAGCGGGGACTTCTTCCCATGGGGTCCTGGCCCTCCCCAGGCACAGCCACCTGGGTTGGTGTGGGACCCCCCACAGGCCACAAATCCGTATGTGCTCCACCACAGACCCCCATGGGTGGCAGTGGGGGGCGGCCCTGCCGACTCACCAGGGGAGTCTCTGCTCTGGCACACGTCCCCCCCTTCTCCTCTTTTCTTCCACTGACCCTGGTGTTCACACAGATGTTGTCCTTGCAACTTCTCACAACTCCCACAACTCCTCCCAGGTTCCACTTCTTAAATATCACAGAGGCACAGCTAATTGGCCCAGCCTTGGTGCAAATGCGGGTCCAATGTGGAGCTGGGGGAGCTTTGAGAAGTGTCTTACAGGGGCCCACCACTATAGCCCCCTCTCCTGCTACCAGAAAACCCTGCCACTCACTCAGACCCAGGACACTGCCATAGACACACATGTGAGCAGTGTAGGCTCAGTCGTTCCTATTGTCTATCCAGTTAATTTTCCCACATAGACTGTCTTCCTCTCTTGTTGATTCCACATCATTCTCTCTGGATGACAGCTTAAATCTGCCTTATTTTTATCCCTTCAAAACACTTCTGAAATAGCCGCCTTGGTGGGTATTGCTCTTCCTTAGAGTTTCACCCGTGACTTTCTTCCTTTTTTTTCACCAAATAGGGTATACATTTATGTCTTCAGATCTCTTCATAGCATATTCTCAGTTCTGCCACCTCCTCAGCCATTCATCATTTGTTATTGAGATGTCATCTCCCAACTAAGATCTGCCTGCTGAGTTAACCTTCATCAACCTTGCTCCAGATCCTCATGGAAATATCTTTATGCTTCTCATGTGGTTGTCCTCCGTATTAATACCTGTAAACCGCATCTAAATCTCTACACCTCAGATTATTAAAAAAACTCTTCTCGCTCGTTATAGCAACAAAATTACTGAGTGGCAGTGGCTGAATTGTTACACTTAAAATCTTTTCTTTCTCTGGTGATATATACTGTTCTATTATTTGAAGTTGAGGAGATTCCCACTTACCTTTTAACAGAGTTTAATGAATGGTTAAGAACCCATTTTCAGAAAGAAAAGTCCTTGTGAGTAGTGACTGTGTGTCTCCATTCTACTATTAATCGGTTCATCAATTTAATATCAAAACCCAATTCCTAAATGTTAAACAAACACTTTTATTTGTATCTCTTTCCCAATACTTAATAATGAAGATTAATAGAAAAAAAATATATAAACTGACATTGAAATCAAAGCAGATAATATTTAAGAGGCAACTACATTTTGCATATCCTGAAAAAATACTGCAAATAGATGAGCAAGTAAGTTTTATTATGCACTCAGTAATAGATTTATTACTTTTTTTGTATTAGTTTTGTTACTGTTTAGTATTTAAATACTAAGTAGTAATAATGGTGTTACATAATGGGCCTTTTTTAAAGGATGTGCCCTGTAATGTGGATTTTAGTTCTTGATCCTTATGTTTGAATAGGGTCCAGGTTCATATAAAAGCCTAAGAGAAACTATCTCTTAGGTAGAAATTTTAAGATGACTCCTGGTTATAACTTTGCTAATGATCTCTTTTTGTCTCTGTAACATTTGCACTTTTCATGTAGTCCTTCATATGTGGGATGAAATTCCTTTAAAAGTTACGATGCCATTACCTCATCCTTCTGCAAATGCTTTCTGAAGTGTCGCCTCCACTTCAGTGCCCATAGAACACTGCGGCACGACACTCTGTAGGCAGGTGTCAAGCTGAGATTTCTCCTGCCACACAAAATAGGCTAGTTTAGCTGTTTACTGCATATTCCCATTCCTTCATCAACAACTTTGGTTTTGTTCTCTTAATGTGTGTTAGCTAATAACTTGATTAGGAGTTATCAGGAACAGGTTCAGCCTGTTGGGGCTTTTTTTCCTCACTGTAATGGAAACCAGATTTTTGCCTGTACCCACCCAAACTTGTAGTCTTAAGTATATGATTATTGAACAGCTTTAATATTGTCCTATGAGATTTACTCTATCCAGAATTACACTCTTTGAGAGGTTTGTTATACTTTGTAAATATTTTTTTCCAAGTCCAGAGTTCGTGACGTTGAATTGGGTGCTTACCCTATTAGATACTTGAATTCCTTCAAAAATCTGGCTCCTAGAAGTCAATATACAGTCAGTTGAGCTTAAAGTTAGCATTTGGTGCTGCTTTGAGTTTTAAGGGTAGGAAGTAGACTCCTAAATAATGCCATGGTTTTGAAAGTGATGCCCTTCCTGTTTAGCACCAATATAAAAAGGGTTCTGATATGTAAAATATTTTATTCATTTTTCCCAGTGAAAAGAAACCAAAAAAGATCTGGTTCAGGCCATTGTAGAGAGACTTCTGCTTCAGACATGGGTTTAGGATCCAGATATTTAGGATCCAGCCATGGGTTTCTCCTTTAGTTGTCAGGAAATAAGCAGATATCCACAAGGATTTCCTTCTTCTCTAAATACAAAAACCAATTGTATACATTAATTGTATATATTTTATATATTTTTAAAATATATATTTTTATAATTATAAGTTCTAAAAATTAAGGAATTAATCATAAATTCAGATGTTCTTTGCCTATAGAGATAACTGTAGAAGAAAAAAGATACTGTTACTATGTCTGGAAGATTTGTCACCTCAGCAATTTCTTGCTGTGATAACAATATAAAAAAGATTAAGACTAGTCCTTTCTTTAAACAATAGTATTGAAGGTTGTTGTAGGTGTATGCTCATTCCTCAAATATCACTGTTTGGTTGGGATTGTTTCATAACAGGAAAAACAGACTAGCAAAACCAGGGGATGGATTTCATGTTCACTGAAAACAAGTCATGCTTTTTTCTTGTTGTATTCCCACTGGTTTCCTAATAGTGTATTTATTGATCTGAGTGTATTTGGTGGAATCTGAATCTCAATAGAGCCCTTTCATCCTACACGTGAGACTGTGTTGGCACAATGGTGGGAATTACATGAAAACTTCATAGTGTTGGATCTAGTGCTATACTTGCCTGTAGAGAACTTCATGATCCAGTCCTGTCCTTATTTGTAAGCATTAAGGATGGGGCTTCAAAAGATACTTAGTCACCAGATTCCTCTTAATTTCAGTTTGAATTACACACATAAGTGTCTTTAAAATCCAGATCTAAATAATTTTTTTTTTAAACATGACAATTTTTGAATGTACCCATTAGCACTAATGTGGGTTTATATTTCTCTTTAATTTAGGATTATCACAGCACATTTTATGCTGATCCCCATGGCATGCAGTTGTTAGAGCTGCTGTCACACAAGTAAAAGACTCTGCTCCAGTTTCCTGAAGCTTTGAGTTTACCCCATTCTGCACTGTTTATGATTTGATTGTCTCAGCTAAGTGTTTCTATGGACTCTAGCACACAGCTTTCTCCTTTCATAAAACCAGTGTAGTTTCTTCTTAAATCCATTTGTCTTTATGAAAAGTTTTCCATATGGTATGAGGAAGAGAAGATTAATAGAGGACAACAGTATCACAGACTCACAGAGTCAACTAGGTTGGAAAGGACCTTGAAGATCATCCAGTCAAACCATTAACCTAACACTGACCATTCTCAACTACACCATATCCCTCAGCGCTATGTCGACTCTACTCTTAAACACCTCCAGGGATGGGGACTCCATCACCTCCCTGGGCAGCCCATTCCAACACCCAACAACCCGTTCTGTAAAGAAATACTTCCTGACATCTAGTCTAAACCTTCCCTGGTGTAACTTGAGGCCATTCCCTCTTGTCCTATTCCTTACTACTTGGTTAAAGATACTCGTCCCCAGCTCCCTGCACCCTCCTTTCAGGTAGCTGTAGAGGGCGATGAGGTCTCCCCTCAGCCTCCTCTTCTCCAGACTAAACACCCCCAGTTCCCTCAGCCGCTCCCCGTACGACCTGTGCTCCAGACCCTGCACCAGCTCCGTTGCCCTTCTCTGGACACGCTCGAGTCATTCAATGTCCTTTTTGGAGTGAGGGGCCCAAAACTGAACACAGGAATTGAGGTGCGGCCTCAGCAGTGCCGAGTACAGGGGTCAGATCCCTTCCCTGTCCCTGCTGGCCATGCTATTGCTGACACAAGCCAGGATGCCATTGGCCTTCTTGGCCCCCTGGGCACACTGCTGGCTCCTGTTCATCGGGCTGTCAATCAGCCCCCCCAGGTCCCTCTGTGACTGGCAGGTCTCCAGCCACTCCTCCCCAAGCCTGTAGCCAATACCGAAAATGCAGTATAGATCACAAATGTAAATCTATGTTTTCCATTTCCTCTTGACATTTAGCCAGACGACCACTTATGAAAAATTACATTATTCCAAGATTTTCAGTTAGCTACCTGTATAATTACACCATTTCTGTTTGTACATATTGGAATGCGTCTTCATATTATAACAATAGCGTAGCCTTTTTTTTCTGCAGTTTTTATTGGTAAAATAAAGATGTTTGCTGTAGCAGCATATATCTTCTGAAACATAGCAACAAACATCTTTTTACTAATGAAGGCTAAGTTACTGGAGTGTTCATGTTAGCAGCGTCAATTTCTAGGAAGAAAAGCTAGAAAAGAATGCAGAAAGAATAACAAGCCTATTATTATTCCATGTCACTTTATTTATATGTTGATGTTCCAAAATCTGAATTTTTGCCTGCCAGTGTACTATTCAAATAATATTTTCTTTTAGCAAGTTGTTGATATTTTTTGGGTTTGATTACAGAATGATGATTTTCCTGTACTGTTCTAAACTAGATAGATGCATGGACTCAAATGTAACATGACTGATTTTTTTTTTTTTTTTCTTTTTTCCTCCTCCAAAAGATGGAATTAATATATTCTATGGAAAATTCCTTTCACGCCTGTCTCTGTAATTTCAGTTTGTGAATGTGTTTTAAAGCAGGACTTTGTTATTATCTGAATTGCTGACACAGTAAGGTTCATTTGCTTGTTCTTGCTTGACCTGAATGCCTTGGGCTTTCTAGGATTCCCTGGCAAATACCACAGTGACATTTAACATGTAGCCTATGCTTAAACTCCATTTGTATGAAGGATATAATATGATGTAATGGATTGGTTTTGTTTAGCTTTACCCTTGACAGGTTCCTTTCAAGACCTGATCTTCACACCCTCATTTCATTGATCTGCTACAGCTTCCTTTATTAGGTATTGCTTCTTTGCAGTAACACTAGTCGGATTATGTACTGCAGAGTTTCTTCTCCAAAATTTTGCTGCTTTGGCCTTTCTTCTCCCCCCCAACCCCTGATCTGGATTTGGAGAATCTACAAAGACTAGCAGAAAGAATAAACAAGACCTACAAATTATCAGGTTTTACTTTTTGTTTTTAAACCTTCATATATAGATATAGCCCCTAAGAAGGGCTCTTAAGAAAGGGACCTGGCCATAGGGAAAAGGCAGACATGACCTAATCTCAGTGAACCTCAGCTGTTATATTTAATCTCAGAAAAACTGAAATGAACTTCAGGGCCACTGAACTGCACCAGCCTCTGATCCATGAAGACATAAGCTATGCCTACATAAGTATATTAAGTATACAGAATCACAGAACGAAGCTGTTGTGGGTGAAATAACGTGATGCTCCCAGTGATGATCAACAATTCTGCCTCTTCAGTACTAAGATTGCTGGATATTTTCTGACTGAAACAAAAATCTATCTTCTATTTTCATTACTCCATAAAATCTAAATGATATATTTGTGAGTGCTGTCAGCTGTTGTTATTGGTGACATCCATCCTAGAACAAGGGTAAAGCTATATGATTTTTTATCAGCATTAAAAACCCCAACAATACACATACCAAATCCTGATGGAGGTTTTTGTTTTGTTTTGTTTTGTGGTTTGGTGGTTTTTTTTGGTATAAAATGGTCATAATTTGTTGTAGAAAGAAACACTGTAAGTAATAATTAATACTGAATTACTTATTAGCTCAGCATCAGATTGCAGGTCTTGTGTTGGACTGAGCCTGAGCAGACCTGTTTTGCAACAGAACAGATTGTCTTGAAACACGGTGTGCTCCCCAAAATTTTCTTCTTCGAGCATGAGCCTGTGGCATTTTCTGAACTCAAGAGGCTGTTTCCTGTGCTAATCAAGGCAACTGACAAACTCTTCAGCTTGAATCAATGCAGGTTTGCCCAAGTCCTTTCTCTACCCTGTACACCCTCAGGAACAGGAATGGATTGACAAATGTTTCTTCTTACCAGCTGCTGAGATCGTCAGTGACAGACATATAACCAGATGAAAGGCTGGTTAGTCTGAGACATAAAATGCAGGCAAACTGAGCAATTTCCTTTAACATTTTCATTGTGAGCATTTTTCCCTGTTTCGTAAATATTTCATGATACGTAAGCTGCAACAGCATAAACCATTTCATCTGGTCATGGTTAATTAGGATGTTTGTTGTGAAGCAGGACAGTTCTTAAGTCTGCCTAGCTTTAGAGACCTCACTGCTGTTTCATGAGTGTACTAGAATGAAAGATATCTCAGCAGAAGGACTTCTTTGTATGCTTGTTAATGAAAGTAGCAGTGAGGTAATTCATGAAGGTGACATAGAAAGTGGAAGAAACAGGAAAGAAGAAAAGATCTTATCAGATAGTCAGAAGTATAATGAGCATTTTTCATTAGCTTGACAATTTTAAGTATGGCAGCTGTTCTTTTTCACATTTACTAAGACTTAACCTGCCAGCTACCTTTACTGGAGGAAAGAATTGGTTCTAAAAGATTAAGCCAGATTTGTATGGCTAGCTTCTGGATAACAAACCAGCATTAAAATTGGTGAAAAAAACAAGGTGAAAGGTACTTCTGCTGTTTAGATGAAATGTAATGTTTCTGTTTACTTAATTTCCTGAATTCTTTTCTAGTTCTTTATCCTGTTCTACACAAGTATTTGTATTGGGTTCATTGGCTGCTGTACATTATTCACTAAGCAGTTTAATTACAGATATGCTAGTAAGGAGAAAGGCATTGAGGAGTCAGCATAGTGGCAGCCTATGGGATCCTACATCAAATACAATTTTATTACATTCCCTCCCACTCATGTAACCTGTGCTTCTACATTTTCTAGGTATTTAGTGTTCCCAAGTCCTAGGGGAAAACAAGAGTGAGTATTGAAATATCTTTTATGGGAATGTCAAGGAAAAATTTCCGAGGAAATACAGTTAGTTTGTACAATTAAGTGGTCTATTTGTCGGGCAGGCTGTTTTTCCCAAATAATTTTTGAACATCTTGGCTAATTTCAGCCATATTTGGTATAAGGATAAAAATCCACACATGTGAATTTCCTACATGTTGTTTAGAAGGACAACTGGCCGTTGTGTCTAGAGGTATTCCAAATAGCAGCCATGTTGATGCTGATAGCTCAGCCCCACATCCATGCTGAAAGGTAGCAAACAGATGCTTAAGCTAACCTGTGAGTCAGCCAGAATATCTGCTACCTTCTTCTCCATCCAAGCAGTTGAGATACCAGGGAGGAAGGTAAGATGGAAAGGACACACGGAGTAAATAAGAATATTGTGTACAAGGATGGATGATAAAAGATACTGCTCACAGATCTATACAAAACTGAAATTTATTAGTTATTCTCTTTTTTACCATATATTTCTGCCAATAACAATAAGGTAAAACCTGTGCATGAGGTCAGGTATTTGGAAAAGAGTCATAACAGACCTTCACCTTCTGGAAGGACTGGTTCCTGGAAAAACTGTTATCTTCCACAGAGCTCAACACAATCTTTTC